GCCGGAATATTTCATTAGAGAATTCTTCGAAACCCAGTTTTCCTTCAACATTTGGAACTGTTCTTGATATGGTGAACTTGAATTTCATATTACAACCAATGATGTTACCACATACGTTGTGAGTTTGTCGAGAAAAAATCGTGTGTTTATTTCGGATCTTGTCATAGTTTAGTGTTATCACATTGGCCTTACTTGCCGACAATGTCTCGGTCCTAGGAGAAACCGTGGCAACCAAGCTGACGTTGTTTTGATTTAATCATTGTCTCACGCTCTCTACCTCACCAGACAACAGGAAGACCCAAAGTCACTGGGAGATGGGCCTAATTCCAGTGGCATCCTCCAAAACTGTCTGACCCCTAAGATGCATCTGACAGGAGGGATAATCTCAAGAACACACGAGTCCGGCTGTTCTGGCCAACTGTCCCGAGGCAAGAGGCCAAGTGGTTCGGTCGGCTGAAGAGGAAAGCAATTCCCTTACAGCTCTTGTCTTCCCAACTCCCCACAGACCATGCCAACCGGGAATGGGCAAAGGTGCTAAATTTCTTTTTAATTGCCCCAATGCCATGACGCCATAGAGTTTGCCTTGCACTACGTCCATTTCTGATGTGCCTCTAACCACTCCCGTTTTTTACGCCCTCCTTTTCTGCTGGATTCACTTTCTTCTAACCACTTTGCCAGGCTAACACACCGACAAACAAATGGATAGACAAACGGACAGACGGGCATACATACAGACAAACGAGGACAGTCAGGGCAGAAAAAATCTCTTTGAATGGCCATTCTTTTACCGCAAACAAGTCCATTGCTTTGAAGCTCTTAACATAAGTTGTGTTTAATAGCATATCCATTTTGTCATTATTGCCTCGCCCGAACGTGCATGTGCGCAGCCTTGTGAATTGGTACAATTTTGCGCTAATAGTTGCGGCCCAGTTTGGGTGTATTGGACCGTCAGAATGGCCGGTCAAGTAGGAAAAACAGCCCCAGTCAAGAGACGAGTCCTTGGATTGGCAACATTGCGCTGAAACCAGCCGGTTTATTGTCTAAAACTGCGGTGCAGAGGCTTCAGTTTAAGGTGCTTCTGACAGATGCACCACAACACATCTTCAGAACATTAAAGTTTGCCGCCTCAGCAAAAGACCTCTTATTCACGAGCCTGGAGCCTGTGTTGATGTTCGAACTTGAGCTATTATTTGATCAGTCACAGGCTCTTGCAAAAGTGTAGTCCGAGGTGCATCAAAAGAAAATTAATGAGTT